AAGAATAATTATTGATCATTTGTTCTCATGACTCTTCCAGTTGAGCCCAGAACGCCAATAACATCTTTCACTATGCAAAACATGTATTTAAAACATACGTGGCTTATATACCAATCAAACAGATCGCATCATATTATAAAATAGGAAATAAAATTTGTACAAATTCAAGCCAAAAAGTGGCTGTGATTGTGAGAGGCTTTAATCAATCAACTGAGTATAACTTATGAATAGTAAATCGTATCATAATAATCTATAGGTCAAAATGAAGCTTATAATAAGAGGAATATGAATATATATATATAGTTTAGTAACTTAACAATGATAAGATAAAAGTATATGTATAGTATTGGAGTTGAAAGACATTTATTCAATATTGCAAATTAATCGAAAGTACTATACTTTAAACTAATGAATGTTGGCTTAGTGATCTAGCAGATGGTTAAGCGCTTTTCGTGACGTTTGAATATCTTGATGAAATAATAGATGAACAGTGTTATGATGTTCAAAAGTAGGATAAAACAACTTCCCAATGTTTAGTGATTTCTACTATGTATCTAACTAAGATCAGTCTATGATGTAATCTGTAAGATGACTTAATAAGTTTTTTGTTGGATTCCACTCTTATTTCTTCAATGAATAGACAAGTAAGAGAGTAATCTAACAACTATAATGTTCCCATTTGAGTTTTGCTCAATCTACATATACATCTATACATAGATTCATAATAATAGATTGTAAGCCAATGAAGACAGAGAATGTGTACATACCATTAACCACTCAAAATACATCAACATGTGCTCACTAGTGACTAGCTTCGGGAGGAAATTCTCGGAGTTCTAGTGAGAAGCCGTGATCAGTGGAGCTAATCCATGTCGGGTAGAGACAGGTATCTACCTCAATGCAATGGAAGTTGGTCGTGCAATTTCGTGGATTGGTTGGTGTTAGACACTATCACCATTGGATGCCGGCTCAGTGGTCCAGTTGGTTAAGCGTTCGCGCGCGAGACCGTAGGTCCTGTGTTGGAATCCCGCGAGCGGGGTCGTGGAAGCGCGCTGCTGAGGAGTCCCACAATAGGACGAAACGGCCGTCCAGTGCTTCCAGGTTTCCAAAGGTGGTGGTCTAACATCAATCGGTTCATGATCTCAATCTAAAACAAGAGAGTTCGTTCCAAACATCTACACTTTGATCAAATCTACAACTCTTCTATTTGATGAGTTTTTTCAATCAAGAAATGTTATTATCACTGATCACATATTATTTTCAATAATCAATATTTCAATGCCAAACAGTTGATACATATATGTGTGTTATGATATTTGGCCAGTTAATTAATATGATGTGACTTAATCGCTACTTATATGATGTTAACATGGTGCCAAAAACAATGACATATTGACCAGTACGAACAGTCTAGAGTCTTTATTGATCCTTTTTCCAGCTTAACTCTGCCTGTTAAGTCCACAATACCAATATCAGTCTCTGTGATATGAATTATGTATTTCAAACATACTGGGTATATATACAAACCAAATACAGACCACATTGTACTATAAAATGGGAACGAACATTTATACTTGATTTATCCAAAAGTGGCGTTGAATGTGGGAGATCGTAATCAGTAAACTGGGTCTATGAATCAAACTGAAGCTGATAATAACAGGAATATGAATGTAGATAATCGAGATACTCAATAGTTATACAATAAGAATATATAGAAGTTATTCATCATTTAATCGTCACTAGGATATAACAGAATGTAATTCTCGAATAATTACACTTTAGATGTATGTTAAATAGAGTATTATTGTAATACTTCACAAATAATATTAAGAATCTCTTACCTCTATAAAAGTTATGTCACTGAATGAAATTGTTATTAAGGTTACACTTTTCTTAACCTATGACTGAGCGGTCCAAGGCACTGCGTTCAAGTCACAGTTCACTCTGTGGACGTAGGTTCAAATCCCACACCTGACACTAAAACCTATGGATTTATGAAGATGAAAAGTGATAATGAATAAAATACGTTAATAATTCAACTGTTGTTCCTAATAATGATTAAATTTTGTTGATGATCATCTCGATTAAATCAATGTAACTGAAAACAAAAAAAATTGGAGGGTTTATTTTTGAGTTAAAAGATACTTAGATTAACTTTTATATGAAACAGAATCTAACAATCTGATTATTCACTTCGTACTGTTTACTTATATCTTCCCATTGTTGTTTAAGACTGATCAATTGATCAGTCTCTGATTGAGATATGTGCATACTGTGTGTATTGCTTCGATATTGCCTTATGTAGGTAAGTGGATAACGCGATGGCATTTGAAGCAAACGGTACTGGGTTCGAGTCCTGGAATGAATATTAACCCTGAGATGAAAATACATCCAGCTGACGAGTCTCAAATAAGACGAAACGCACATTCTGAAATCCATTACTGGCTATCATCCATTTCCGCTTATATATCTGATTATTATTTACATTGAACAATCGTCAAATTTGGAATAAAAAGTTGTGTGTAAGATGTTAACTAATCTATATATTTAATTCAAGCTACGAAAAATATCCGAGAACAACTTGCCCTCCATTATCTTGGGTATATAAGAGAATCTCGAACCTGGTATACTTAAGGTTTTGTAAATGATACAATATATAGTAAACGATTTAAATATGTTAACTGTATCCCATTCATAGTATAACGTTACTTAATTACTTACGCCTGTTACTCCTCGTCGAGTGGCATAGGTCACCCATCAGCACTCTCCATCCAACCTTGTCCTGGACAATCGTTTTCAGCTCTTTCCAGTTTTTATGCATCCTTTTCATATCTGCTTCTATTTACCGATGTAATGTGTTTTTTGACTCTCCTCTTTTCCGTTTCCATTCACGATTCCAAGTTAGGGCTTGCCTCGTGATGCAGTTTGGTGATTTTTGTAATGTATGTCTTATCCAATTCCAATGTCTTCTTCTAATTCCCACTTCAGCTGGAAGCTGGTTTGTTCACTCCAACAGTAAGCCGTTACTAACGGTATCCGACCAATGGATGTTGAGTATTTTGCGTAGAAAACCATTTATAAATACTTGTACCTTCTTGATGATGGTTGTAGTAGTTCTCAAAGTTTGAGCTCAGTATAGTAGAACTGTCTTGACATTCGTATTGAAGATTGTGACTTTGATATTGATTGAAAGTTGTTTTGAGTTGGATATGTTTTTCAATTATCAGAATGCTATCCTTGCTTTTCCGAACCTCGCTTTTACGTTTGCATTAGATCCTCCTTGTTCATCGATGATGCTTTTCAACTACGTGAAGGATTCTACATCTTCCAGAGTTTCGTCATCAAAAGTGATTGGATTACTGTTCTTTGTTTTGAATGTGACGACCTTGATTTTTTCCCTATGTTGAGGCCTATTGATACAGAGGTTGCTTCAACTGTTGCACTATCAAATTAATTCCGATTTGTAACAATCTATTGTACTTTTCAGTTTATCCAATATAATATCACTCCTTTCTCTTACAAATCATTTACCTCTTTAAATTCACTGATATCCGCCTTAAATTATTATTGAACAATAAGAATATAATTAGATGCACATCAACCATTGATATGAACAATGATTAATATATTTATGCACTTGAATAGTTGTATAAATCATGAAAGAATAGGTGCAAGTGAAATTCGTTAGTTTGATTTTGTTCAATGAGACTAGAATTTATGAACAATCATTGAACAAAGTTAGACTGACCTTAAAAGTGTCTAGGACTAAATGAATGTTATAAATTAATGTGAGGAATTAGAATTAGAATTTTCATTTGATGGTTAAAAGTTAGGAATTCGATTTACGGTTTTTCATCATGAACTGACATCATAGCTATAATGCCAAGACTGTATTTAACCAAAAGGAATGAATGAATTTTGCGCCAAAATCACAGACCTGTTATGTTATACTTGATTACTTACTGTCAGTACCAATGGAGCATATGCCACCAACCAACCTTCTCCAACACACTCTGTCCTGGGCCTTCCTTTCCAGTTCCATCCAATTCTTGTTCATTTTTCTAATGTCTGTCTCATTTCTTAGGGTAATGTGTTCTTTGGTCTTCTACTCCTCTTCCTTTGACCTTGAGGATTCCATATGAGGGCTTGTCTTGTGACGCAGTTGGGTGCTTTCCTCAATGTGTGTCCTATCCACTTCCAGCGCTTCTTCCTCATTTCTTCCTTCACTGGAATCTGGTTTGTTCTCTCCCACAGTAGGTTGTTGCTAATAGTGTCCGGCCAATGGATCTGAAGTATTTTGCGTAGACAATTGTTAATAAACACCTGTATTTTCTGGATGATGGCTTTCGTAGTTCTCCAGGTTTCCGTCCCATATAGTAGAAATGTCTTGACATTTGTATTGAAAATCTTGACCTTGGTGTTGGTTGACAGTTGTTTTGAGTTCCAGATATTCTTCAGTATTAAATATGCTGCTCTTGCTTTTCCGATCCGCTCCTTCAGATCTGCATCAGATCTACCGTGTTAACAATGATGCAGTCCAAATATGTAAAAGTTTTTTCATCTTCCAAATATTCTCCGTCAATTCCTATAAAGGAAAATCAATTTTTTTGAAATGTAGATACATCCAGCTGACCTAAACCTAAATAAGACTATTAGTCACTATTATCCATTTTTTGCTTATTGAATAACAATCTAATGAAATAGAATTCAATTTTCTAAAATGAATAAAAATAATGATAAATAAATCAAATCTAAAACTAAAATTTGAAAAGAGAAACAAATTTTTACAACCAATCAACATTACATAATATGACCTTGAATATTTTAAACCAATCAGAAAGCAGTTATATGGATAATGACCTTGTCCAATCAATTTTCAATGAATAGTCAATAGAATGAATGATCATTCTAATGTAAATTATTATTATCATTATTATTATTATATAATTAGAATCTACTATATTGATGTATATAATTTTATATATTGGATATTGTTATTCATGTCATCAGAACTTGAACCGCATATATTGAAACGTTATGAAATTGAGAAGAGAATAGGAAAAGGTGTAAGTGAGCAAATTTGTTCGTTTTATTGTTTTAATATATAAACTGTTAAGTAATAATTATTATAAGCAATGATGAATTGTGGTGTACCTATAATCCTGCGTGAACTGATGCTCCCTGACGGATTCGACCCCGTTTCACTCAGCTTCACAGTCAAAGATGTTGCCACTGAGCTATCCAGGGTGTGAATGAATTCCTGTAGGACTGTAGGATTCGATCTATACTAAGAAGGACCTGAAATACATGATTTGATCATCACTCAGTGAACAATCAAACAGTCATTTATACTAAGTTTAAAAATAGAAACATTTTGACAATAAATAGATATTACATAAAAAAAAACAACATTTTTGTTATAACTTTTGACCCTGTTGCCCCTATCAGTATATAACTTAGTGATAACACCACTGACTTGGCTGGTATCCCATGATGTTAATATCTAACTTCAACTATTCTCATCAGTGCACATCCCATAGTAGGACGAAACAGTCGTCCAGTGCTTCTAAGTAAACTATATCAGTTATTCACACATTTTTGAGATATTTAAGAAACTTCTCGGTATATAACTAATCAAACTAGGAATTGATGAAAGAAAACATAATTTCCATGGCAAGTAATACATTGAATCATTTAAACGTTCGAGTTATTGATTTTTGAATTTTGTAAACATGACAATAGATCTTCCTGTTTTCTGTTTGTTTAAATCGAATTATAATCACACATAATTATATATATATATATATATATATATATATATATATATATATATATATATATATATATATATGGAATCTAGGACTCATGTTTCGTCCTAGTTGAGACTCGTCAGCTGGATGTATCTGCATCTCACGAGTTGATGTTTATTCCGGGACATAAACTTAGTACTGTTCATTTCAAACGCTATCATGTTATGTAATTTGGTACTGAGTGCTGATAGCCACTTGTTTGTGCAATAGAATGAAGTTTAAATTCAATTGACATCATTTATTTTACTACTGTTCATCTTTGCATATAATCCTTGTGAATTAAAGTAATATCAAGGTAATACGCACAGGATGCATATATACCAGTAAGAGACTGATCAATTGATCAATCCTAAACATGAATGGGACGATTCAAGTAAAAACAGTATCAAATGAATTCATTAGGTAATAACTGTTGTTTGTCAAAATGTTTGTCACAATTTCTTGATTAGTCAACTTTATATTCATTTAGTGTAACAAATTTACTATTCATATGTCTATATACAGATAGATTCAATGAGCTAATGAACCATGAAATTAGTATATAAACTACTATATATGTTCTAAATGAATTATTCTAATTGTTTGCCTTTAAACGGTTACTGATTTGGTTCAATCTATAACATGGTATCTTTACACTGGTCAACATGGTTCTAGTTGTATAATTCTTTGCAATCATAAAAAAATATTGTAATGTCTCATTTATGGTTTCTAAAATGAGGTAGCTTACTAGCTTATCAAACAATTTGTAAATCTAATGGTTAAAATAATTAGTCAATTGAAACTAGGCCACTATGGGAAACTTGGAAACATTGGATGGCTGTTTTGTCCTACTGCGCAATGCTAAAGTGTCCCACAATAGGATGAAATGACCGTTCGATATTTTCAGGTCTTTCATGGTGATCTAGCTTCAATTGACTCATGATCTTAACCATTAAAATTTCATTCATTTATTATTTATTTTAACACATAGATATTGGTACAAGAAGGCCACAAATACATATGCGCCACACAAATCTCATTCGATATGTGTGAGGGCTGTGATACTGCTCGGGTGCCCAAACCGAAGCAGATGGTTTTCTTAGGGGGCCACTCCCCGAGCCTTTGACCTAAAGGTTTGACCCACAAGGCAGTGGAGCATCGTAAGGAGATGCAGTTCCATGGAAGTCGGTGACCAACGATTGGTTCATACGCCATTTGTTCCCACAGGATACTGGAGCCCATGTACATCACTGGTTTGGAATCCGGTTAAAGCGCCAGACATTCGCTTTTCGTCCTCTCATTTTTGTAAATAACACCCCCGCCGCTAGGCAGTGAGTAGGACTTCCCTAGCAGATGCTATATACGCGTGGCCATGTGAGAGCATTTCGAGAGGGAGGGCGGACTCACCCCACTCTCGGCCGTACCAGGGCATTTGGGGGCTAACCATTAAAATTACTATAATATCCACAAAATCTCTTCTAATATTAATTTGTAAATCTTTTGAAATATTTACACAGTTGTATCATAGTACAAAAATGACTTAATAAATGATCAGTGTAAAGCATTTATTACAGGGGTGTCTCTTTTTTCGCCCACAACAAATATACAAAGTGAACCTAAATGGATCTCTTACCCTATCTTCATTGACTATAGGACACTATACTTTGATATGTGGTCTAACTTACAAATGTAAATTTTCATTTATAATCTAACAATGGTCAGCTTTAGATATTAATCAATGTTTACTATAATTGTGAGTGAAGAAAGAAAGTCATTACATTGTACTTAAATTCTTTATCATACAGTAGTGAACAAAGAACACAAATGGGAATAACCAAATGTATTCAGACACAAAATTACAGAGTTTGTTGGTAAAATCTGAGAACTTTACAGTGAACACTTGATGTGTAAAATGTTAATCAATCGTCTCACACTTCATTATTCATTCGCTTCCACATCAACCAATCTCTGTTCTTATTCTCTTTTTAATTCGATCTTCTTAACTTTCTCCTATCAGGCATTTCATATTCACTTGATGTTACATACTACTTATATCTGTCGACATCAATAGCACACATCAAAATGCATCTCATGCCATAACTGTATCTCATTTGTATAAAACATCGAATTTCAATCCTTAAACCAGTTGTCCAAATCAAACTTGACTTGCTAAAACTTATATGACTAATTAGAACTATTGACTATAAATTTGTTTTAGTGTAATACACTTAACTACATTAAGTTATGCACGTTAGCATTGTAGTGGACGAGAACTCAGCTGGTGACAACCACTTTTTTATAAAATGTAAAAACCATACATTGAATACTTCATTTGTAAACTTCCATCAATTGTTCTCTAGATTCTTCATGATTATTCCAATTCTAACTTCCTTTATGTTTTGCTATCTGTTACAAAACTGTTAATCATTCAATAATAAATATTCTTTGTTATATCTCAATGAGTAGAAAAATAGTATTTCCGACGTTTCGTTAGTTAATGTAAGCCACTTCTTCAGAGTAGAATTCGATTATTTATTTACTTTGAAGAAGTAGCTTACATGAAGTTACGAAACATCGGGAATACAATTATTTCATTCATTGTGATGTAACAGAAATACATATATATTATTATTGTTATTATCGTTTTACTTAATACTCAATTTGTTTGAAAGTATCAAGTTCAACTTTGACATTGACATGTAAATGATTAATCAATAGCTGTGTCATTCTAGTTTGTTTGAAGCATCTGAATAGTGTATAAATATGAGCTCATAGTATATTCATTCATGATGATTTCCGACTATTCACGAACCTGTTTCTCTATTCATTTTAGAAAGTTATTTGAATATATTTAAGGTTATTTTACTTTTACTGAAACATATGCTTATGTCTTGAAACAGAACTAATCATGGAACTAATAACATGTGATTTAGAAATTAATAAAAGACACAATTACCCGGTAAATTATAGTTTAGAATTGATTGAAGTTAGACATTAACATGGTTGCATGCCTGCCAGTTCATTAGTCTAGTGGTTAGGTATTCTCATGAGACGAGACCAAATATCCTGGATTTGAATCCCGCGTGCAGGATCGTGAATACGCACTTCTGAATAGTCCTATCTTAGAACGAAACGTTTATCCAATGCATCCAGGTTTCACCATGATGGTCTAGCTTAAATCGACTCATGAATCCAATTATTCATTTTAGAGATATACTGACAAACCTTTATATCATAAGTGAAGTTTTTAAATATTACTAAAGTTATAAACCTGGATAAAGATAATAAAACCAAACAAACTGTGTATCATCTTATTTTATCGGGGAAATCTTAAACACTTTGGAAATAAGTAGCTCCATGTACTTTCTTAAGTTACTGTCACTATACCGAGAGTAAGTCGGTTAGAGACAGGTATCTGCCTCAGTAAAATGGAAGATGGTTGCGCAATTTCGTGGATTGGTTAGGGTTAGACATTAACACCATTCGATGCCGGCTCAGTGGTCCAGTACGTTAAGCGTTCGCGCTCGAGATCGAAGGTCCTGTGTTCGAGTACCGCGAGTGGGATCGTGGTTGCGCACCGCTGAGTAGTCCCACAATAGGACGAAAGGGCCGTCCACTGCTTCCAGGTTTTCAATGGTGGTCTAACATCAATCGGTTCATGATCTCAATCGAAAACTTAATAATCTTCACAACCCCTATACTAGTATAATAACAAGTGAAGAGAGAAGCCTTTAAATTCAAATCTGTGTTGAACAGTATCATTAAGATGAAGATTAATCTAGCGGATCGATAAGGATTAAGACGAAACAGATGACTTGAATTTCACTATTGGTTTCAATCAAACTATAATATTTATCAATGATAAGGTGGATATTTTTTGGAAATCGGATAACTTGTTACATAATTTCGAAATGATAGATTGAAATGATAATGATTGTAAAAAAAAGGGAGACTACGGACGAACCAATCGGATTTATGATAACAGATCCTGGATTTCGGCGTGAAAATCACCCATTTATTTGGCTAAATAAAGTCTTGTCATTATAGCTGATATCAGTACATGATGAACATTATAAACCTAATTTCTAACCTTAACCATTGATTGTAAATCATAATTCTTATTCTTTAAACTGCTTTGTAGCTCATATTTAGCGCTAATAAGTAGGTAGACATACTCAAGGTTAATTTAGAGTAGATAAAAGATCGTTCACAAATGATAGTCGCACCAAAAAACGCATATGTAAACTATGATATTGGCTAGGATTGGTTGCAATAGTACAGATACATTTATATTTTGTTTCTTTTTTTAATTCTTCATTACACTCTTTGTTCTATGAATTCATTCTGTTTGGGAGATTTAGAAAACTCCTCGAAAAAAAGCCAAAAACGGCTATGAAAACGTTGAGAAACATTTTATGCAATCAGCATTCAATAGAAGTCTTGTCAGAAACATCTAAAAAGTGAAGAATAACATGATGTGTTTTTCATTGGATGATTACTTATACTGCTACTATGTTTAATCGCGCTCCAGAAATTTCCGGAAGCTTAAGTCATCTTAAATACGATAAATATCTTAGATTTTCTGTACATAAACAAACCTTGGAGTAAAACGTTTCTTCTTTATTTCGCGCTTTTTCTCTCGTACTCAAGTCTCTGTGTAGATTTAACCTGAGGATTACTAGAAGAGCTCAGAAACCGAATCAAGCATTCAATCAGAAGACTTATCATATTCTTTCTATTCGAATTAGACTCTCCCCGAATTTGTCATTTGTCTTTCAACTCACTTTCCTGATGTAGTGTGGCAACTTGAAACAAGGTATAGATGTGACAGGTACTATGTTTCTTATGTCTGAATAACTGAAAATGTCTTAGATAATAAGAAAATAAAAAAATTATGATACTTCCATGAACGATTGTCTATACTAAATAAATAAAACTTTTAAGCATAGAATGAAATTATAAGATGAATTACTAGTGTTAAACTTTATAACCTGGTCTAGAGGTTAAGCGTTCGCACGCGAGACTGAAGGTCCTGGTTTCGGATCTCGCGAGCGGGATCGTGGATGCTCACTGCCAAGTAGGAGTCCCACAATAGGATGAAACTGCCGTCCAGTGCTTTCAGGTTTTCTATGATAGTCCAACATCAATCAAAAACTTAATAATCTCAACAACCCTATACTGATAAATTTTATGCTCTGTGCTGGATGGTTTGATCGTGGAGATTTCATCAATCATCTGAACAACATCATTAGCGCAAACTTCAGCTATCTGAAGTTTTTGCTGTTCAAAAGAACGATGAAAGCTCCACAACCAAACCATCCAGCTAAGAGAATAAAACACCTTCAAAATCATTCACTTGAGTTACAAATCCTTTCCACTATTAATTTTAAAGTTAAAAACACTTTGGTTAAAATGAACAAGTAAACTGGTAGATGTAAATGGGCCGTTGCTTGTCCCTTTTACTGCTGGCTACTATGTTAAGTCCATATACCTTATTCTAGCTTCTGGACAGGCACGTTTTCCATTCTTCTTGAGTAACGTTTTGACCTTGTCAATTATTTGCCTATCAATCCTGACTGTTTTTATGTGAGCGTTTGTGTGTACACTTATCATATTCATCACATTTCTGTAACTTGTTTTTGTGCGATTATAAATACCGATTAACGTTCGATTAAATTGAGTTGGCTCAAACGCCATCTCCACTGAGCGTCATTTCACTTCGCTCTTTTCTCTTACCTTCATTCCCTGAATGCCTGTTCAGATCAATGAGTGCATGATTTATACATATCGAAGATTCATTCTACTATTTAACTTATTTAATTCCGTTATTCACTAGCGCGATTTAAGTCGATAATTTTATACCAGAATAACCGGAATGTATATTTTTACAACAATCAATCATACGATATAACTGAAGTCAGATCCCGGGCCATTAAACTTTGCTTATAACTAGCATACGAGGACATATTTCAGTGTGGTTCTACAAGAGTTAGTCGCTCTGTACTGAAACATATGATCGGTTTTAATCACTCAACTGATTCATAAGTCTATTTTAAGGTTATTTTGAGAAATCGTCCAATCTATTAAGATTCCTTCATATTTTACTCCTTAAAACAACAGAAACTCTTGTCATCTATGAAATGGAATCTGTTCTGTGTGTACAAAAGAAATACGAATCCGTAATTATGTAACATGTATTGTTTCTGCTTCTGAGAAAAGGGTTCGCAATTCATCAGCAAATAGATACAAGTTAATCAGGATGATTTAGAAATTTAGACTGAATATTTACTCATTAGGAAAATATCTTCTGCTTCCAAATTTATTGTCATTTCGATGAATAAAACCATAACTTCACACAAACCTTCACATGGCATAACTACCAGTTCAATTGTTTGTATCGACATATATTAATAGAAGATACAGGTGTTTATTAACAGTTTTCTACGCAAAATACTTCGGATCCGTTTGCCGGACACTATTAGCAACAACCAACTGTGGAAAAGGACAAACCAGATCCCAGAGGAGGAAGAAATTAGGAAGAAGCGTTGGAAGTGGATAGGACACACATTGAGGAAAGCACCCAACTGCGTCACAAGACAAGCCCTCACATGGAACCCCCAAGGCCAAAAGAGGAGGAGTGAAAGATCGAAGAACACATTATGCCGGGGAACGTAGATAGACATTAGAAAAATGAACAAGAATTGGATGGAACTAGAAAAGAAGGCCCAGGACAGAGTGGATTGGAGAATGCTGGTTGGCGGCATATGCTCCATTGAGAGTAACAGGCGTAAGTAAGTATGTAGTATTAATAGAAATGACTATACTATCTAAAAAGGGTTGTGGAATACGCAAGTGAATGAACTCAGAATCAGTTATTGCCAAGCACTAAGGCTATCAAACGCAAACTCTTCATTAGCTAAGCAAATAACCACAGATTTCAAAGCGTTGTATGGATACTATCAGAGATTTAACCTAAGATTTTCTGAACCTATGAGTATTAGAAACTTCAATCTTCCTTTGTGTATACAGAAACAATTTGGTCTTATGACAGTGTTTTATTGTTTCCGTATTATATAATCACTCTCTCTTCCATTTCCAATTAACACCTTGTTTCGCCTGGCAATCTGGTCCAAGCTTTTTCATGGAAATATATCTCCTTGGATATATTTCCATGAAAAAGCTTGGACCAGATTGCCAGGCGAAACGTTGGATTTACTTCAAGTTCTTTCCCCGAGATTTTACAAATACATTCGTTCTCATTGATGTCTCACATGGGCTAGGCGCCCAAATACTGTGAAACTATTCAATCAAATTTAGACGAAAGTTCTTATTTACTACAACACCTTTTGTTTATTTCATTTTCTTGTTTTAGTTAATTGACCTACATTAGTTTTCATACATAAACATCTTGACAAGATTAATGTAATCGTTTGTTTAAGGAGTTGGGAGATATGTGGCATTGAATCGATCGGTTTCGCTCAGATCTATTTACTCTTTGTCTTATCTTAGATGTTGAGTTTCAAAATTATCTTATACATTTTGTTTCACTAATTCATTATTCCTTCTCGAATCGTACTTTTAGTCTGTTGGTTTTTATTAACATTAACACTGTTACCATTTCTGCAACCCTGAGACTTGTCTCAATAGTTTTGTCTGTTTGTGCTTATACACATAGTTTACTCTATCATTTTGTCTGTGCTTATTTGGTATGGTGAATTGATTTAAAGCATCCATGGGCCGGATTCTGCGCTGCTTATGATTGAAACATTCAGAACAAGATAAACATCACGCTTAATATTATTTATTATTCACTCACAATGAATATCTCAGTCATTTGAAAGATGTTTCATGACCTAAATAGATAAGTGGTGACGACACTGACTATAACACTGGCTAATATTGATTTGGATATCAAGTTAACATCATTCCATCTAAGTAATATTGATAAGTCTTGTCGATTGAACGCTATATTCGTCTCCTAAGCTATTCTGTAACCCCTAAAGTAGGACTAGACAGCGACCTGAACACGAGAGAGAAGACTCAAAGTATGCGAGAAGTTGTTCGCTCCAAGTGAACGCTGATTGGAGGAAACGCTTCTTAGTGTTTCCTGATCCTTGTTTGTCTTTTGCAAGCAATTTCTGGATCACCCCAACAAATATAGTCTTTATGATAACAAGAGCTAAAGTGATCGTCTTGTCTTCTTTCGATACTCTCATAATATTGACATCGGGACTAGAAATCGATTATAACGCATAAAACGCCAGGTGGATTATCTCTTGAGCTACTGAGTCATCTTGTTGTCAATAGTTCCCCATATCATCACATTCACATATCATCATATAATTTTTTACTGATTCATTTTCTCTTTATTTCATTAATGTATTTTAGGCATATGGAATCGTATGGAAAGCGATCAATCGAAAGACAAAAGAAGTTGTCGCTCTGAAAAAAAATTTCGATGCATTTCGTAATCAAACAGATGCTCAAGTTAGTGAAATACGACTATCATTTTTATATATTTTAAACAATATTTCATTTTAAGCAAAAATGGATAGTGACTAGCAATGGAATTCAAGATGCGCGTTTTGCCATATTTGCGACTCTTCACCAGGATGTGCTTGCATTCTAGAGTTGATGTTCACTCCGGGACTCGAACTCGGGAATGAAGGACCACTCAGCTGACGAGTTCCAATTAGGACGAAACACGCGTCCTAGATTCCACTGTTAGCCACTGTCCATCTTTTCTTATAATGTTTATGATCTAGGGCAATATCGAGGCAATCCGAACAGGATGTACATATGCCAATAAGAGACTGATCACTTGCAATCCTAAACATCTGTAATAATCACAATCAGCTATTTTATTATTTGTATACTAACTATAATTTAGACACTCAATCCACTATGTACATTCATGTGTGAGTCTGATTGAGCTGAACGCGTATATGTATATCAATCTCTAATCTATTCTTCCATTCGTTGTAATGCACAGACAATCAATAATTTATTCACAATCGATTAAAACTCATCAATATATGTGGATTTTTAACACACACACACACTCTCTCACACACACACACACTTGTTCCCTTATGTGTTTGTTATCAGCACTCTTGCGGATTTTACTAATCTTTATCAATAAACTGTCTCTATAGTTGGTGTTGGGGCTTTTGAATAATCTCGAGTAAATCCATAATTCAGCTAGGAGATTTGGCCTGTGTTAAAGACTCAGTTAACGGGATACTATGTATTAGAGTCAGATATAGAGGCAATTAACCTCTACACATCAATGGTAGGATTTAAGCATACAATACAAAGTGAATTTACTATGTCGTTTTGTCTTTTTTTGTCTGTTTCACTTTCCGCTTCTATATATTTTCTCTCTTATCTTTACTTTCATAGAGAACATTTCGTGAAATTGCATTTTTACAAGCGTTTGGTAATCATCCAAATATTATTGGTTTATACAATGTAATACGAGCTGAATGTGACAAGGATATCTACTTAGTATTTGAATACATGGGTAAAAAATGAATTTATTGATTGAACATATAGATTTTTATAGTTGAAATCATGAGTCAATTAAACCTAGACCATCATAGAAAACCTGAAAGCACTGGATGGCCTTTTCGTCCTATTGTGGGACTCCTCGGCAGTAAGCATCCACACGAGGTTAAAACCTAGGATTTATTGGTCTCGTGCACGAACGCTTAACCTCTAAACCACAATGGGGTTAATGTCTAACTTTAACTAATCCACGTTACTGAATGACACATCCACCAATAGGTCCTGGGTTCAAATCTCGCGAGACGAGATCGTGAATGCGAACTGATGAAGAGTCCCACAATAGGATGAAACAGCCGTCCAGCGCTTACAGGTTTTCCATGGTGGTCTGGCTTCGATTGACTCAAGATCTTAACTATTAAAATTACTATAATATCCATGAAACCCCTTCTGATATAAATTTTCTCTTTTTCATAATTCAATTTAATAGAGACAGATTTACATAATGTAATTCGTAAAGGGAATATTTTGAAAGATATACACAAACAATATATTATGTATCAGTTATTTAAAGCAACTGCATATTTACATTCTGGGGAAGTGATTCATCGAGATTTAAAGGTGAGTTTAATCAAAAAAATTCAAAATAAATTTCTGTTATTTTCTATACATCTTGCAAAACTTCGTGAGGGAATTCCCGGAGTTCTACTGAGATGCCATGTTCAGTGTAGCTAGTCCGTGTCGGGTAGAGACAGGTATCTACCTCAGTGTAATGGAAGATGGTCGCGCGATTTTGCGTTCTCACGCGAGACTGAAGGCCCCGGGTTCGAATCCGGCGAGCGGGCTCGTGGATGCGCACTGCTGAGGGGTCCCACAATGGGACGAAACTTTCGTCCAGTGCTTTCAGGTTTTCTATGATGGTTCAACATCAATCTATTCATGATGTCAATCAAAAACCTTATAATCTTCACAATCTTATTACTGAGAAATGAATAAGTTTTATTTGAGTTCGTTTTAATTTGTCATTGATATTTATTAGCGATTAGTTTCATTTTGTAGTGATTGACATTGAATGGTTATTGTGAAATAACACGAATTAATTGAAGTTAGAAATATTGCTGTTCAATACTTTGAGGTTAGACGTGATGACTTAAAGTTTTGGATTTGATTCCTGATGAGGTCGTAAGTGTGCTTAGGTGGAAAGAAATGGCTGTTCATTGATTCTCACTTTTAAATCGTTGTCAAATGGGATCAATCTGTAACGAATATGAACCTTATAGATAAGGATTTGTTTTGAAGGAGAAGTAGATCACGTTTGGGTAATCAGCATTAACGAGTAAACAATAGATAGATATTTTGATTTCGAATTTAAGACTGTTTAATTTCATAAGGAATGTAAGTTAATCTAGATTTTTAGTACGAGTTTATAGAGATTATTAAATTTCACCGAAAACATAAACCGATCTAATTTAAACCAACAGTGAATACCTAGGAGCACTGGACGGCTTTTTCATTCTAATATGAGCATCACACATCACTATCCCCAATGAGGGACTTGAACCAAGGACCTTCAGTTCCACGCATGAAACCCCAATCTTTGGACCATTGAGCCAGCATTCGCAAACGAAATAGTGGATGCTCAACACTAAGAGGTCATCCAGTGATTCCACGTCTTCTGTGGTTGTGTAAATGGGATTGGTTCATTATTTATTTGTGATCTAGATTTTGATTACTGTCGAAACTTTATGTAAAATTATGATAATTTATATTTTCGAACAGCTGTATATTTCAAATGAAAAGAATATAGCTATCTTCAGTGAAACTTAGTATACCATTAAAATTAGTAAACAAGTCATTTAGATCAAAAGAGGTTTTGTAGATATCATGGTTATTTTATTAGTTGAGTCAATTAAAGCTAGACCATTATAGAAAACCTGGAAGCACTGGACTGCCGTTTCGTCCTATTGTAGGACTCCTCAGAAGTGCGCATCCGCGGACGAATAAAGACTCAAACTTCATAAATTCATTATTTTTTCCATAGCTGAATAAGTCTCAATCTAACAAACGATGAGATTAATGACATGATATCTGAAAATCTTGAATTGAATCTGGTTTGTGATGTTTCACTATTCTCTCGTTTGTATTGTTTCTACAAATGATGTCCACATGTGACAGAAATTGCTTCAAAATTACAAAATCTTTTTCATTTATGTTCTGTCAGTGTCTTTAGTTAATGCCTATGTGATACGTTCTACTTAATACATGAATATACTACACAATCCACATATATATACCAGGTTCTCTACACTGTATACAACTGAGTGATCACTAGTTATAAAACCTTTATAGCTTTACAGTTTCAGTGTTTTGGAAGATGTTTACTCAAGATTAACGTTTTGTTCACCACAGATCTTCAAATAGTTACTTTGAGATAAACTGCTTAGAATTTATCAAACTGATACATCAAACATTTCAGTGGGACGTCGAAAGAGGGAGAGAGAATGTGTGTGTGTGCGTGTGTGCGATAGATTTTATTTTTTATTTTCAACCAATAAATGTATCGAATGATATAGGTTTATGTTACAAATTACCGGACCGTTGTTACTACCTTGATGTGGTGGTCGGGTTTGCCTATCATGGTGAACCAGCCGAGCTATACTGGCTGGAACAACCGTTCCTCAAGGTCCTACCACGTCAGACAGGTCGGTTGAAGAGCAGTGAGACTAAAAACAACAAACCCAAGGTTCGAAGGCGAAGTCGTACTGCTGACTGTACAGAGGTGTGACAGCAGTAAAGTGTTTCCTCCAGACAACCAGCATGACAGCGACGCTGCCTTTCCACAAGGTGGAGTGGGGTTAGAAAAGGTCGACTCTAAAAATGCACACCTCACCTTATCCCACGGATATCCGTCTTCGGTGGTAAGGTCCCAACAAGCACGGAGCTAACACAAAAATTACTCATAAAAAGGTCGTGTGTGACCGACTTCAAGCAGTTGTCCCTTGGGCACTGCGGTCGCGCTCTCAGGTCACTAAGATCACCTCTAATCCAAATTCCTTTTCAGGTACCTCTAGAAGAACCTTTCTACGGTATGAGCGGCCGGAAAGTTATAACCGCCCTCGTACCACTGACAGCACTCAAGACCACTGCATTCATAGTCAACTGACTGACTGAAAAATATTAAAAATGAAAAAAAAACTATGCAGTTCCTTATTTATAGGAAATATTTGGGTTAGTACCTTACTGGCAATTCAGTTTGAAGTCAATTAGATTGGACGATTATGTTTTTGACTAGGTTGTTGATTAACTCACCATTTTTAGTGACCCTTTATCTGACTCCAAATAATTCGTTTGATGATTGAATGAGTGTTATTGAAATATCCTCGTATCGACTTAAATCGCGTTAAGTCAAATACAGTCCAGACAAATGATCGATGAGAAACGAAGTGAAGAGAGTGAAGTGAGATGTTGCACAGTGGAGAAGACACATGAGCCAATTTAATCAAGCGTTAATCGATATTTATAGTCAGAACAAAAATAAGCTACAGGCATTTAATGAATAGGATAAGAAGTGTACACACAAACGCTCGTATAAAAACACCCAAGATTGACATGGTCAAAATGTGACTAAACAAGAATGGATAAACTGACCTGTCAAGAAGCTAGAATAAGTTGTGTGGCTTTAACATATTAACAGACAATGTAAGGTTGACCACTTATTTCAGTTTTATTCTGGTTGTCTTCAAAGATAGATGAAGGATTTTTGCAAGACATACGAATTATCCTGAGAGAAGCTGTTATGATTTTATGTCCGGCTTTTATCACGTCATTTACCCACTAATCAAAATACGACTTATACAAATCTTCGCACTATGCCAAACCAATGACGTTCGACCGGTATGAGCAGCCTAGCGTCCTTATTGATCCTATGTCCGCTTAGCCCGTCCACTTGAGTCCAGAACACCAAATACCAGCTTCCAATATGCGAATCGACTCGAATCATTTATTTCAGACATACTCGGTTTATATATCAACCAAACAGACGGCAACGCACCATAAAATAGGAAATAACATTTGTACAATATTTGGCCAAATGTAGCTGTGAGCGTAGGAGGCAGTAGTCAATAGACTGAACATAACTTGAGAACAGTAAATCGCATAATAATAATCTATAGATCAAAATAAAGCTTACAATAAGAGAAATATAAATATACATAATCTAATTGTTGAATAGTTATACCATAAGAATATTAGTCCATTAATAGTCGTCGGAAGTTACCCATAATTTAATCTTCATTTGGATATAACAGAAGCATGATTGTAGAACACATTTGTGTTATGCCTCTAAATTTGAATTGGGTTCAACAAGACAAAAAAATAGAGTACATTGCTGCAAATCATAAAACAACCGTGAAACATTAATATCAGAATGTTTTGTGGAGATTTTTAGAAATTTTCACAGATTGAACTCATGAGTCAGTTGAAGCTAGACCACCGTTGAAAACCTGAAAGCACTGGGCGGCCGTTTCGTCCTAGTACGGGACTCCTCAGCAGTGCGCATCCACGACCCCGCACCACCCGGGACTCGAACCCAGGACCTACTGGCTTCGCGCGCGAGCACTTGACCATTAGACAACTAAGCCGGCATCCATCGGTGTTAATGTCTAACTTCAACCAATCCACGAAGTTGCGCTACCGTATACCATTTTCTTCAGTGAGTTCCTATCTCACAACAGACCTGGTTGAACTCCACTGGTAACGACTTCTCACTAGAACTCCAGAAGTGTCTCCTGAAGTCAGTCACTCAAATGGTTTATTTCTAAATGGACTTCATTCATGTTCTACATTCACAATAAAACATTCTTCAATCACTTTTCCTATAATAATCATAACTAATGTATATTTTACCTGTTTCTATTACAGCCATCAAATGTTCTACTGGATTCTGATTGTTTAGTAAAATTATGTGATTTTGGTTTAGCACGTTCATTAAAAGGTCGTAATATGAAATATGATAATGGTAATGGTAAAATCAATTGTAAAACATTACTACCTGCATTAACTGAATATGTAGCAACACGTTGGTATCGTGCACCAGAAATTCTATTAGCATGTCATGATTATACAAAAGGTGTTGATATATGGAGTTTAGGTTGTATATTAGGTGAAATGTTAATTGGTACACCATTATTTCCTGGTACATCAACATTAGATCAAATTGGACGTATTATGGCTGGTTTACCAAAATTAAGTAGAGAAGGTAAAGAGTTTTATATTGAACAATTAATTATTGATTAATATTTCTATTCACGGTTTAATCTAGAATATATTTCATTGTAGCTCAGTAAAATTAGAAGAAACCTTATCTTTATTTAAAAACCGTACAACTGACTACTAATGTATATAGATTATAACCATTCCTTGACAGTTGTTGCTACTAATCTTACTTACTTGCTAACACCTGTTACTCCACGTGGAGGAGGATAGGCCACTCACCAGCACTCTCCATCCAACCTTGTCCTGGACAATCGTTTTCTGCTCTTTCCAGTTGTTATTCACCATTTTCACATCTGCTTCTACTTCTCGACGTAATGTGTTCTTTGACGTTCTTCTTTTCCGTTTCCATTCACGATTTTAAGTTAACACTTGTCTCGTGATGCAGTTTGTTGATTTCTGTAATGTATGTCTTATCCACTTCCAATGTCTTCTTCTAATTCCCACTTCTTCTGGAAGATGGTTTGTTCGCTCCAACAGTAGGCTGTTATTAACGGTATCCGACCAATGAATGCTGAGTATCTTGCGTACATAACTATTTATAAATACTTCTACCTTCTTCATGATGGTAGTAGTAGTCCTCCAAGTTTCAGCTGCATACAGTAGAACTGTCTTGACATTCGTATTGAAGATTGTGACTTTGATATTGATTGAAATTTGTTTTGAGTTGCATATGCTTTTCAATTATCGGAATGCTGCTTTTGCATTCGATCCTCCTTGTTCACCGATGATTCTTCCCATCTTTCAGAGTTTCGCCAGCAACTGTGATTGAGTTGGTGTTCTCCGTGTTGTACTTGAGGACCTTGGTTTTCACCTTGTGTATGTTTAGGCCTAGCTACTAATCTACCGATATATATATATATACATATATACTGACGAACTGTATAAAATTATTGTAATCAATTATAACGTGATGCTTCTACATATCCATAGATTTGGACAACTCTTTCTTATAATTTAGCTTATGACTATTTTTTGAAATCAGAACTCATTTGGTCTGTAGCTAGCCTGGTATCCTTTCGTTTAGACTATACGGACCGCCAAATATGCTGTAATGTATACATACTATATACCAATAACACTTCACTCAACATAGATATATCTTTGGATTATACTTTTGAGAATAAGATCATTAGAACAAATATTCATAAATATCAAGATATTATTGTTTTTATATTGTTTAATAGAAAAGTAGTCGTAAACACATACATTTAAATTTATTCAGAAATGATGTATCATTGACTTGTTTCAATACAACAGTTTATATCCATCTGACTTTACAGCGATTGTTAAGACTCTGGTTCCGATCTCATATGAGGTTGAAAAGTAGTGCACTACTTATTCAACATTTCATAGTTGAATGAAACAGTTGTTCCATACTCCTTGGATTTTAGTGAATTGCAGTCTTCTTAATGTTCAAATCCCAAAACGCCCTCAGCAAAATTACCAGTGAAAACCTGGGAGCACCGGAACACTACTTTATTCCAGTGTGGAACTGTCCAGCAGTTCATATTTACGACTCCACAACCGGAGATTGAACTCAGAACTTTCAGTCTCACGTGCGAATGCTTAAACTCTACACTACTTAGCCGGTATCCGTTAGTGTTGTCTTACGCCAATCAATCGACGATTTTGGACGACTCTCATCCATTGTTTACGGTGGATAACTGTCTCACACTCCACAATGTGCTAACAACTAAATCGTTATCTGTCGTTGCTTTTTGATGAAACGCAAGAAGAATCTTAACTATCAGAGAGGATCTGTTAGAGTTTCAGATTGTGAATTGACCCAAAGAACATAATAGACTAATTCAAATAAAGATATCGTAATTAAGTACATCGAGGAAGTTGAATCGCTCAGAATAAAGGTCATAAGATTGTAAACAAGAAGTTTTTCCCATGTATTATCAATAAAAATATGAAAGGAAATGTGTAATTACTTTTTAGCTTTAATTATAACATCAAAAATGTCATTTTTTGAAAATCACCATAAATATTCTACCACTGCTTATGTTACCAAGGTGTATGATTAATCGGCATCAACAGAGTATATGGACAAGTGTGAAACATATAAAGACCTCCGGAAATTGAAATACCATCACGACGGAATTATGCAATGATGTTACTTATCAGAAGGGGTTTTGTGGAGATTTCAGAAATTTGACCGAGTGAAATCATGAGTTGATTGAAGCCAAACCACCGTGGAAAACCTGGAAGCACTGGACGGCCGTTCGTCCTAGTATGGGACTCCTCAGTAGTGTACATCCACGATCCCGCACCCCGCAAGGTTCGAACCTAGGACCTATCGGTTTTGCGCCAGGCGCTTGACCAACTAGATCACTGAGCTGGCCGGCATCCAACGGTGTTAATGTCTAACTTCAACCAATCCGCAAAGTTGAGCCACCGTACACCATAGTCTTCAGTGAGTTGATATCTCACAACAGACCTGGTTGAACTCTACTGGTTAGGGATTCTCACCAGAACTCCAGGAGTATCTCTTGAAGTCAGTCACTAGTGAGTAGATGATTACTATCAGAAAGGGTTTCGTGGAGATTTTAGAAATTTCATTGATTGAAAGGCCGTCCAGTGCTTCCAAGTTTTCCATGGTGGTTTAGCTTCAACTGACTCATGATTTCAATCAGTGAATGATGTTATTTAACAAGCTGTATTACACCAGGTCATACCGATTGCGTTATTATTATATTTCGAGCAATATTAATGTCTAGGTTTATGTAAAAATCTTTTTTTAATTTAAATACAGAACATTAGATTAATCAAATGTTAAGATTTGGATTCTTTTTGTTATGTAATTAAGGGTATGCTATGTTGATTAAGATGACAAAATGCTGTAGAATAATAAGTAGTATGTAGATCGTCGTATGAATTAGATGTTTGACTATCCTAGTCATTAAATAAATAAGTATGGATGATGGCTAGTAGTGGAATCCAGGACGTACTTTTCGTTCTATTTCGAACTCGTCATATAAATGTACCTGGGATTCTGGGTCTCAAACCTAGTACCATTCCCTTCAAATATCATCGACTATCAGCACTCAGTAGATAAGTGGATAACGCGTTAGAATTTGAAGTAAATGGTACTGGGTTTGAGTCCCAGAGCAAACATCAACTCTGCTAGCCACCATCTATCTTTGCTTATAGAGCTTGTGGATTTAGGCAATATCGAGGCCATTCGAAAAGGATTCACATATACAATAAGAGACTGATTAATGGCAGTCCTAAACATTAATAGGAGGATTGAAGAAAACAACACGAATTGAATATAAAATCTCATTGTATATAACATTTTGATCAGTTAAAACTAATCAGTAATGTTTATTCATATCATCTACTATAAGTATATAACCAATCAGACACAAGGTCATCATTTTGATATCAGTAGAAAATTCTAGAAAATAATGTAATATATGCTACTGATATCGACAGATATTAGTAGTATATATCATCAATCGAACGTGAAATGGCTGATGGGAGAATGTTAAGTAGATCAAAGAGAAGAGAACAGTAACAGAGAATGATTAGTGTGAAAATGAAGGAACAATCAAGTCTGAGACATTTGATTGACACTTTGAGAATAAAATATCTCAGATTTTACTAAGAGATTGTGTAATTTTGTATTCAAATCCATTTGATTGTCCCCTACTTGTATATTCTCGTTCACTACAATAAGGTATCATTAACTTTCTTATCATAATATGAAGACATAAAAGCATAACCTTAAAATAAGAGAATATAATAAGAAACAACAACAACATCTAGAAAATCATGCTGTGAAATGATCGTCAGATCGAATTATTTACTAATAAATCTCTTTAGCATAACACTCTCAACTCTTGAATAGGCTATAAATATCTATATATGAATGAAAACACAACAATAACTCTCCTCTCTCTCTCTCTCTTTCTCTTCATTGTAATCATAATGCTACCCTATCGTGTTGAACTTGAATTGAACTCAATCAAATGAGTACTCGAACTGTTTAGATCACAGTATGAAATCGGTTCATTAGATCAGCTGAAAAACAAAAACTAGCTAATATTCCATGGAAATATGATTTCTTTTTTTTCTTTTTTATAAGTCATTTGTACTAAAACGAATAGATTATTTTCATTGTATGCCTATTAAATAGTTAAATATTAAGTCAAGTAGTCGTTAAGTAGTTAGTTGAAGAAAAGATTAGATTTGTAAAGTAAGTAGTTACCGATTAGTTCAAGGTTACTTATAGTCCAAATGAATAACTATACATCAATCTGTCAAGAAAACAAATTCTTTTAAATAGGGGATTAACTGTGGTAAAATTATATGGAATAGAGTAGTAGTAGTAGTAGTAGTAGTAGTAGTAGTAGTAGTAGTAGTAGTAGTAGTAGTAGTAGTAGTAGTAGTAGTAGTAGTAGTAGTAGTAGTAGTAGTAGTAGTAGTAGTAGTAGTAGTAGTAGTAGTAGTAGTAGTAGTAGTAGTAGTAGTGTAGTAGTAGTAGTAGTAGTAGTAGTAGTAGTAGTAGTAGTAGTAGTAGTAGTAGTAGTAGTAGTAGTAGTAGGAGAGAGAGGAGGGTAGTAGTAGTAGTAGTAGTAGTAGTAGTAGTAGTAGTAGTAGTAGTAGTAGTAGTAGTAGTAGTAGTAGTAGTAGTAGTAGTAGTAGTAGTAGTAGTAGTAGTAGTAGTAGTAGTAGTAGTAGTAGTAGTAGTAGTAATATCGTATCGAATTCTTCATTGAACCATTGTTTCACCAATTAAAACTCTTTGAAATGTATACTACTTTTAACTTATACATCTGAATCTTAAAAAGAGATTTTGTGTGTCAAGATGAAGAGTTTATAGCCTAGGGAAGTACAGATATAACATGTGCTTATCTTTAAATATCATCCGAAAATCAAGTGGTAGATGAGAAGTTATAAACAAGACGTGCTATTGGAAGCAGTTGATTAAGTTTCTAGTCGTGATTTCAAGATGTGCTCTTGTTTTGGTCAAAAGAAACAATGTATTTACTTAATGGTTCCTTTACTTCAAT